CTTCTCTCTCTCTCTCTCTCTCTCTCTCTCTCTCTCTCTCTCTCTCTCTCTCTCTCTCTCTCTCTCTCTCTCCACCCTACCAACAATTGAGCAAAATTCACCTCCATTATCCCAAAAGCTCTTTTAAACCCTAAGAAAACAGCCCCTAAATCATATAACCAACCTCAGATACACTCCTTTATTATTTCATCTTACGAGAATGCTAAATTTCAGAAACTTTAAACTCCCATCAAACCTTAAAATCACCAAACTCTTCCCCATAGACATCCTAAATACTGCCCCTGATGCAAATCAAGAGATGGATGGATTCAATATTTTTATTCTCAATTTTTAGGGGACTTAATTACTTCTTTATTTTTTCTATGGGTGTATTTTCTTTTTTTTTTATTAGGGTCAATTTCTATAAATAGGATTAGCTTTTTTTTTTTTTGGTTAGGGCAGTTTCATTTTCTTTTAGGAAGGATAAGTTGAGTTGGTATTTTTCTTTGTTTTGAATAAAGTTTTTCCTTATATTTTTTATAAGGATGTGGTTCATGTGATATGGAAGCCACTTATTAGGGATAAAGAGAACTCAACCTTCCTCAAGCATAAAACTCTTACTCTCCACTCGCGTCCAGAGCCTCGTGTTCCAGAGAGTAGATCTTGGGATTTCAACATCAAAGTTGATTTACATGATTTTGAAGAAGAACAATTTTGATTTTGGCGTAGGTGTATCAAAAATCAGTAAGTTGTACATTGTGATTCACCTCCACTTCGATGTATACTCAGATGAAGAACAAGATCTTGTTGGAGATCCAATCTGTGAAGATGATCAAGATTTTGTGGTCGAATTGATATTTAATAAATGAAAAGATGGACTCCAAGGAAAATCAATAAGTGAAGTTGGCTCAACCATTGAATCTAGTGCTCATCTCAAAGATGCACATGTGGTGTGTCCTAGGGTTGAGAGTAAGCAATTTCGGCAAGGTTAGGTGGTTGAACTGGCTCTATCGACATACAGCGACCTTTTCCTCAATGGCTTCTCAATTTCAATGCAAAATGATTGGGTTTTGATTTGCAATAACCCACAAGTCCCAAGATCGTGTTTCAATATTCGGATCCAAAATGTTGCACGATTTGCATAGAATTTATTTTAACTTATTTCAAAACTCGATGACGAGTTTTCTCCAACCAAGGAAGATAATGTAGATCAAGAGATGGATGGATTCAATATTTTTATTCTCAATTTTTAGGGGACTTAATTATTTCTTTTTTGTTTTTATGGGTACATTTTCAATTTTTTAGAAATAGTATTAGCATCGTTTTTTTTTTTTTTGTTAGGAAGATGAATTCCATTTTTTTAGGGAAGTTTCATTTTCTTTTAGGAAGGATAAGTTAGCATTTTTCTTTTCTTTCGAATAAATTGTTTCCTTATATTTTGATAAGGATGTGGTTCATGTGATATGGAAGCCACCTATTAGGATTAATGTGGAACTGGTGGACTTCATTTTTTGTATGGAGTTTTAGAAAGCAAGTTGTAAGTGTATAAAAAGGAAGCAACATCAATTGTAAAAAGGAGAGGAGAGGGTTATGTTTTGGTGAATGGAAAAGAAATATTGATGTAGAAACTTTCTCTTGTGTTTTCTCTTTGATTTCTCGTGTGGTGCACAGTAAGAAACCTCAACTCTCCGCGATCGTACCTTCTTCTTACTCTTCTCAGCTATTTGTTTCTCTCTCTAAAATGTGGTTGTATTTGTCGGTTGTTGGCTACCAACGAATTTTCAGTGCGTCCACCCCCTTTAGACCTCCTATCATCCACACCCTCAATACATCTAAAATCCTATGTCCTAAACTTTATAGGAAACCTAAACCCTTTTAAAACTCCCAAATCCAAACCTAAATAGAACTTCAAAACTACCTGAATCCTCTCTTTCCTACCACTTGCATAATACACTCGTGTAGGAGCCAAGCCCGTTGATCCTACATTAGGGAAATACCTAAATTTAGGCTTACTAAGTAGAACCATTCATGCATATTTGAATCACCCTAGGGTAAAATTAGAGGTAGACGAGGTCAGAAATTCACAGATGGGCCTCTGCGTTCCCAGATCAAAGAATCCATAAAGAGGAGATTCCGTGTTGCTTCATATCCAACAAGAACCAGTCACATGACCTATTAATTCATATAATTAGGAAGAATAAGGGTCATGTCCATCAATGTTTTGACTACTTGTTTCTTCTCCGTTTGAAAACTATCATTTTGATAGCGATGTATAATTTCTGCTTCATAAAACATGTTTCCCATTCTTAAAGTATGAGAAGTGAGGAATTTGTTAAAAATCATAATATCCTTGCATTCAATGAGAACTGAAACTGACATAAGGACCTTGATACTAGTTTATGAGAAAACAAATGAGAACGCAGTAGGAATGCACATGGAAAACATGACAATACAAGAATTGTTCGGATATCAAGAAACCAAATGGGAAACATGTCGGAACTTGGGAGAACAGTTAGAAAACTAGGGGAAGTGATGTGAGAAAAAAAATTACGGATACAATGTCAAGAGACAAAGTGAAGGGAAAAAAAACATGAGCTGAACCAAAAGAATAGATATCCCCACAAATTTGGCAACTGGTTTGCTATATGTTCGAAAAAACACACATCTGAGGAAATATCTTTCCCATAAATGACCATGTTTCCATTCAGCTAATATTTTCACCAATTCCCATGTAACTAGCAAGAAATACTTAAACCCATCAAAAAGCATGGTTTGGAGAAACTCACCTCTCCAGCTGAGCCCTCACACCGTCCAACCTCCTGCAAAATACAAAACAAAATGAAATCAGGCTGAAGCAACCTAAATCTGAGAGACCAAAAAAAGGTTTTCAACCAAAGCACCTGCTGGACAAAAAAATGCAGCAAAAGGAATGGATATGGCCTACAGGGATACAAGGTAAATAGAAGCTCACGTTTCTGAAAACTTTTGAGTATACCAAGCATCATGGTTCCCCAGAATTGCTGCTTTGGGGGCTTTAAGTTCTGCTATGCTTTTAACAAGTTCAACATTTTCATTACCAAAGTCGCCTGAAAAAGAAACACAAATTAAATGACTGAGATCCTTATATTAGTGGAGCTCATTCACCCAATAATATATTAGTGGAGCTCTGGAAATTATGGAAAGCATCCAGCGAGCACCAATCCATGCAAACTTTTGGAAATTGGGAACACCCAAACCACATAATAGCTCCGTCAAAAGCATCAAGGGCGGAATTGGATGGCAAAGGGAAAACACATGCCTGTAAGTAGTATCAAATCAGCCTGCAGTTCCATATAAATAATAAGTAATCAGACTTAACATACAGAAAGCATTAATTACAATAATTGTAAAAGCAAGAAATACCACCTTTCTAAATACTGCCATATGGAAGAAATCAAAATAGATTTTTCAAATTCTTAGTAACTTATTTTTATTACAATGGTAAAAGTGACAAAAGTCAACCACAATCGATGCTTAGTTTACTAGACACCTGAAAAGAGGAAGTGGATTTTAAGGGAAGCAACAAATATAGAATGGACAGGGCCACAAGATGGCCAAATATCATTATAAAAATTCATAAATGTATTTTTCTTTTTCAGATTATTTTCCTGGAGTGGGGGAAGGAGGGGTTGGGGGAGTAGCTGTACACAGAAGCTGGACTATATTTTAAAGAAACAAACTGTCTCCATACAAACAGATATTGTTCTCAAGCATGGAACTAAAGAAAATATTTAACCATTAGGAACGCTGTTAAACAATTGGAGACAATATACTTTCAAAAACATCTTGCATAGCGGAAACTTTAAGAACAAATAACACATCATGTGTGATTTATAGTACAAAAATTATGTCCTGAAGGATGGCACATTTAAGCATGGACATTCGCCCATGTTCTATTCCCTCAATTGGTGCATATGCAGTACACCCATATTCTAATTCCAGTCTCTTGATGAATTATAATTTTCACTCTCGAGCTTGCCATGGCATCAAAGAAAACAAAAACATTTTTCATCATCCAGATTTTACTTAAATCATCCTCAAAAGTATTCCTATGTCGCACGAATATCATAAATCAAAGCTCCAAACCATCCCTGGTCAGGGTGTTAACAATGACGTTTTCCTCTAAATCTTCAAATTTAACCTGCCTGACATTGCCAGACATGTCCCAAATGATGCTACACAGTTGGGTCCTTTATTTTTTCCAGAGATCCTCTCCTAATGCTCAATCTTGAGCATTCTTTTGAAAATTCAATGCCTTTTTTACCACCTCTTTTTTTGGCCAATATTTCAGTAACAGTACTACAATCTTATCATAAATCAAAGCTCCAAACCATCCTTGGTCAGGTTCTTAATAATGACGTTTTCCTCTAAACCTTCAAATTTAACCTGCCTGACGTTGTCAGACATGTCCCAAATGATGCTACACAGTTGGGTCCGTTATTTTTTCCGCATTCTTTTGAAAATTCTCAATGCCTTTTTTACCACCTCTTTTTTGGCCAATATTTCAGTAACAGTACTACAATCTTATCGACTATCATATGAAACAATAAAAGCATATGATCCATAAACATTGTTATTTATGCAACGGCAGCCTAAAATATGTGTGTGTTGCAAATCACAACTCCCATGACTACGAACCAACACACAATGGAAACACATGCCCAACAACCACACCATCCACTATGGTAAGTTCATGTCTGTGAAAGCCGCTTCATAAACCAAAGCATCAAAAGGTTCAAACAAGGTACATCCCTATTGTGTCATAACATTTTTTCTTTTAATTTTCCAATCGTCTAGGTCCCAATACAATTTCCTTTCCCTCTTTAAGGAATCCTTCTTTCTTCTCCTTGTGTAGGAGTGGCCTTTTGCCTTTATCCATCGGTAGTCTAGCTAAGGAAGTCTGCAAGACTTAATCGAGAGGAGTTTGTTCTGTTTGACTTTAAACCGTTCATATCCATGATTTTAATCGAGAGGACCTTTTGCCTAATTCCGTTTGAATAATGTTTCAAAATTAATAAAGGCAAAACCTTAGCAGTACTACCGATGTGTTACTTAAATTTTATTTTGTTAAATTTTCATGATTTGACAAAACAAGAAAATTTAATCATTGACTTAATCGATAAAATTAATAATCCATAGGCTAAAAAGGAAGCCTTAATCCAATACATGAACATGGCCAAAAATCCATCCAGCCTACTACACCCAAGACTTCTCTTATGCCAAAAAAAGAGGAATATAGCTTTCAAGATATTCTTAGAAGAATTCAGAATAAAACTCAGTACCCGAATTGTAACATGAACTAAATGAAGCTCACAATGAGCTAATAACTCTTAAAAGGAGAGCTCAAGTCCTAGAAATAGCTACTACTTCCTAGGAAAGAAAAGAGGAATTAAATACTGAAGAAGAATTTAATGACTTAATAAATGAATATCCTCATAAACTCATACCACCGAGGTAAAAGACACTCTCCCAAAAGCTTTGGAAGGAGAATCTCAGTGTAACACTTTAGAAAAGCCTCTACTCCAAAACCTCAAATACATTAATCTTTTAGATAAGGTTGTAATACAATAGTGGTTTACTATTAAATCACTTGAATTTTTAGGTGAATATTCTTCTCATCAAGCTGCACCTAATAAAAATATAAAAAAAATAATCGGCAATATAAAAAATGACCAAAATACCCCCAAAAATTTATGGGGGTATTTTGGTCTTTTTTCATGTAAAATAATTTTTTAATATTTTTCGAATATTCACCTATTTTTAATCAACACACTTCTAAAATTTCAAGTGATTTGGATTTGTAGAAAAAAAATTAAAATTCAAACACTATCGGGCATCCGTGATCGTTAGATCGGCCAAGATTCAATCTGGGCCATTGGACTCATTTTTTCTTGTGAGCCCATTGGCTCACAGAAGCCTTTTCCATTAATTAAATGATCATTAGTTAACCAATTGTCCAAAATCACCAGCCACGAGAAAGCTTGGATCTTTGGTGGTGGTCCTGGGATGGTCCAAAAAAGAGCTAACGATGTTTCCTTAGGGGTTTTGATGATTTGGTACGCTGACCTCACTGAGAACTAACCTTTGCTACCTGACCGCCATATTAGCTTATCATTACTTTCAGATTGGAAGGAGACCAGATTCAAGTCCTGTAGCATCTTGATTACGACTAGAGTCTTATCAACTTTTAATGCATGCATGATACCTGTAATACCTGGAGTCCAGTGGGTCTCATGGACTGTAGCACTCACTGTATCAGAAACTGCGATATTTGGACTAGTAGCTAAAGCAAACAAGTCAGTGTATTGTTCACACAGAGTATGGTATCCAATCCACCAATCCAACCAAAACCTTGTGTGCCTGCCATTCATCACCTGCATTCTCATATACTCCTCAAATATCGATCTCCCGCTGCTTATACCATTCCACGCCCCATCGTAGCTACCTTTTCTATGATACACCACCAACCATCCAAGTTGTCCAATTCCATGCTTGCTATCACCTGCAGCCATAACTGACCAGACTGTCCTAAAATCTCCACCCCCGCTTGGATAGCAAACCCGTATTTGTTTCCCTGCTTTTGTGGATACCCAGCCCTCTATTACACTTAGGCTTACATACCATGTCCCAACTGTTGTGAATGTTAAAGTTAATACTCTTTTCTCTCGTATTTAAGACCCTACTGACTTTATGTCTATTTTCCCTCACAAAAGGTATCGTTATATACATATTAAAGTTAATAATATGTCTTAATAGAATCCTTAACTTCCTTATTTTTCCTCTTCTTTTCTTATGTATATTTTATGGCCAACTCAAAAAATGAAATTTATCTCTATTACTTAATCCAAACACCCAAATAAGGTCATGTATCATCTTTCAGTAATATTAACAACAGATGAGGAGATGGAATAGTGGTCCACATAATAGACATCCGCATTAGATAGAGCGAACTTAATCAACGTCAATCTGGGTTGTAGTGACCAAAATCTAAACTTCGATGCTGCTAGTTTTCTATGAAAAAAGTTTTTCCACAACACCCCAGCCCCCACCCCCCAAAAAAAATAATAATAATTCCTTTCCCCCCCAAAAGCACACACACACACAAAAAGCTTTCATAGGTTTGCCAACACATTGACAAACAATGGTATTTGTTTGGCAACTTATTCTCCATATCCTACAATCTTGCTAAATCCTATGATTCTTCTTGAGGTAAAAATATCCCCATCAATTTAGTTTTGGACATTGTCACTGTTACCCCAAAGCCACCTCAAAATATCTTAAGGACAACCATAGGCTGTTCATTTGTTCCTTGTTCGCATTCCAAAATACAAACATATCATTTTCATAATGCAAGTAGGAAACCATTGGGCCTGTAGGGGTTACCCCAAATCCACCTCAAACTATCTTAAAGACAACCATAGGCTGTTCATTTGTTCCTTGTTCGCATTCCAAAATACAAACATATCATTTTAATATTGCAAATAGGAAACCATTGGGCCTGTCGGGGAGGTCTTGAATCCAGTTAGGAGTCCGGCAGCATAGACTCCAACTAGCAATTGACTAGAAGCTCCATCCACAACAGAGAACAAGAAAGGGAAGAGAGGGTCTCCTTATCTCAGTCCTCTTGAACTCAGGATAATCCCTTTGGGGACTCCATTGACAAGCATTGGAAAATGTGACATGGACAAACAGCCTGAAATCCACTTTCTCCATTTTAACTCCATGAGCTTCAACTTGACATCAAGAATTGCCCAATCCACACGATCATAAGCTTTCTTAAATCAACTTTGCATATTCTTCTTGGGATTTGATCTATGCATCTAGAGTGCACGGCACTCATGTGCTACCATGTCACAATCAAGTATCAGTCACCCTGCCAAATGCAGCCCGTGGTTGTGAGATTGCTAGAGGTGACACTTCTCATAGGCAACGAGTATGGACTTCATATCTGACAAATACATCCAAGTGAGCTAATGGGTCTTAGGTCTTTAATATCTTCTGCCTCCTCTTTTTTTTGGAGATTAGTATTAAAGATGAGTTTATAGCAACATTAACTTTGCCCTTGAGATAAAACTCTTGAAACATGTCATATTTACCATGTCCAGAACACTTGCAACAAAGCCAAGGAAAACTCATCTGGACTTGGTGCTTGGTCTTTCTTAAATTGAATGCCACCTGCTCGGATCTCATCTTCCTCGCAGGGTCTCTCAACCTGTAACACGCTCCCTGAGATAAATATTTCAAGGGAAGGTTCTCAAG